GCACGTGAACGTAAGAATGAATCGGTAGCGTGGGGGTACGATGATGATGCCAAAATATAAAGGAGACCATGGCTTTCGGGAATTGAATTATTCTATTTGGCGCTACTTGCTCGCCAAGTGTGGAGGTTGTTGCAAGATAACTCAACATTGAGTGCAAGAGTTTTGAAGCACTTTATTTCTCATTGACTTATTTGCACTCAATTGATTTGTGGTCGCACCCTTTCCAGGCATGGCACTCTTTATGCGAGGGAAGGGGTATTCTTAAAGTAGGATTGATCAAGAGTATCGAAGATGGTCGGATGACACATGCATGTAATCATAATTGTATTTCGCAAGATTCCATGATGCGGTCAACATGTGCTATTTCTGCCCCCCCCCAATGATGGTTCTTGATTTTATGAACTCATCTACCAAGGGTTGGTGAAAGTGCATTGATAATCAATTACCATTTTGGTGTTGATAGTAATAGGATTAGTGAGATATGATGTTGGTTTTGAAGTTTATCTCAAGATGTTGGAATCTCATGTGTCTATGGACTTTGGTGAACCCCTATTCGAAAAGGACAAAAAGACGGTGTTCTTCGTGTGGCTCGAAATTTTTTTCAATTTATTTTGAGTCATAAAAGAAGTCTTACTATTAAGAGGGGTTGTTATGATGAGCGAGCTGAAAAACTCATTTCAAATCAAACACATATTGCTTTCCCCCAAATATCGTGAAAGGATGCTTTTTACCAAGGTTGAAGATGTCTTAGAAGGTTGTCCGGGTGCCGGGGATTATGGACCTATGGGTGCGCAAAGTCATCAAGAAGCAACCAGTCGCCATTGTGGGCGTGTTTGGTTACATTGCCAATCCAGCCTGGCCCGACGAGCCTGGCTCTAGTGAGCCGGTTTGAGGGGATGCAGGCCAAAAAAACCAGATGCACATAGTTTGGTTGCCTGCATGCCCCTAGTTGCATGAGACTACCATTTTTGACTCGGCGTTTGGTTGTCCGCATTGTATTAGGCACACATATGACATGGTGTTTGGTTGCAACCTGCATAAGGTGTTGTCACCACTTCTAACTAGTGGTGAGCTTACCACACACAATCTAAACATGTAGCGTCAGCTAGTTAAACAAATGATAGTTCATCCTAACTACTATCAAATGACAATTCAAATTATTAAGAGCCATTGGTGTTGCTGCTACCAGATCTTCCTCTTCCTCTTCTTCTGCTTCTGCTTCTTCTACTGCTGCTTCTTCTTCTTCCATCTTTTTCAAATCATGCACTGACCTCTGTTAAGCCACATTGCCTCTGCCCACTCCAACCTTTTGTTCTTCCAAGCGTCATTGTCAAATGCCTCCACACCATGGCCAGAGCTAACAACATCGTCAGGCTCGACCTCTTCCTCCTCAGGCACGTGTTTATCAAAGCCCCACTGGAGGATCCAGTTATGCAGAATGCAACAAGCAAGAAGAAGCTTAACCTGAGTGGACTATGGGTGGAATGGCTTCTGATCCAGGATCTTAAACCTATTCTTCAGAGCTCCAAATGCCCTCTCGACAGTTATTCTAAGGCCGGAGTGTCTGAAATTAAACAGCTCCTGTGCAGTCCTAGCACAGTTCCTACCAGAGAACTCGTTGAGATGGTACCTGATTTTCCTGAAGGGTGGAAGAATACCCGATCGACATGCATAACCAGCATCTCCAAAGTAGAACTTGCCGCCGGGGATGTTGATCCCATCAGATCGACTCATATTGTCACTGAGAATGTTAGCATCATGCGCTGACCCCTCCCAGCCAGTCAACACATATGTGAACTTCAGATCAAAGTCAACAGCAGCAAGCACATTCTGGCTTGTGTAGTGCTTCCTCTCCCTGTATGTTGTAGACTGTGACCTAGGAACTCTGGCAGTGACATGAGTACCATCTATTGCCCCAATGCAATCCTGAAAATGGCATCACAAACCTGTGTTAGTGCTCAATTTGAACAATACAAGCATATCAAGCCATGAAATGTGTATATTGCCAATGCTCACCTTGAA